CTGGGAGGGCTGCAGGGGGCCCGGGGGCAGCTGCCCCCCAGACTGGTGGCGTGGACCCTCGCCAGGCGTGGATGCTGCTGGCCAGGAGCACTGGGCAGAGAAGAGGCTGCCGGGCCAGGACAGGCATAGCCCGGGATGGGATGAAGGCTCACACAGCAGTGGCACCAGCCACTGGCCAGTCTCCTGGAAAATCACCTCAGGTTGCTGTTCCTGTCCATCCCGGGGCCCCCACCGTTCTGGAAGAGCTACTGGAGCAACTTCTGAAAGGTACCCACCAGCCCCAGGGGGTTCTATAGGAAGGGGAGGCCGAGGGGGATCCCAGGGCAGGGAACAGCAGGGACAGGGCACCACGGGGCTGGGCAGCCGAGCCAGGTGCTCTGATCTTGGCACCAAGAAAAGCCAAGGTTCCTTCCTAAAGCCAAGCCCTGGTTGGGTTTTTTTTTGGGCTAGGCCTGGTGAAGGAGCAGGTGAAGACGTGCAGGAAGGCCAGGGAAGGACAGGAGGAAAAGGAGGAAAGCAAAGTCAATGCCCAGGCCAGGTCCCACGTGGAAGCAGCTTTCTACTGCCAGACACGTGAAAACATCTCTGTGGAGCAGAGAGTGCAGCAGGAGCTGCAGCACTACTACATTGTGAGTGCCCAGGCTGCTTGCTACTCCTGTCTGCAGCATCTTCCTGCCCATGGCACACACCGAGCCTGGCCCAGGGGCCGCTTCTCTAACCCAAGTCTTTTCCCATCCCCAGCCGGAGAGGGAGGCGATGTTCCACCGTGGCCCAGGGCTGAACCTCACCAGTGGGAAGTACACAGCCCCCATTGCTGGGTACTACACCTTCAGAGCCACACTGCACATTGGTGAGCCCTTGGGCACCCCCACAGCCCTGCTGGGGAGGTCCAGGATGGTTCTCACCCTCCCTTCTGTCCCAGCATGCAGAGAACAGCAGAGGAAGGGGCATTCATGCAGGGGGAAGCGTCTGCGGGTGCTGATCTGTGTGCAGTCCTGCTGCCAGCACAACAGGTAGGGCAGGGCAAGGCTGGGAGGGGAGAGGGACCCTGGGCCAGGGAGGGAGGAACGAGTCCAGCATCCCCAGACAACGAGGGACACGTTCTTCCTGGCACCATCCTCCCTCTTCTGCAGCTATTTGGAGACTGTGTCCCGGTTGGAGAGTGGTGGTGACCTTTTCACCATCTCCGTCGCTGGAGTCCTTTACCTGAAGGTTAGTGGTGCCAGCTCTGCCCAGGACTGTGCCAGGCAGGAAGGTGTCTTCCAAGGCCCCAGCTCATGGCTGAGCACTGAGTGTGTTTCTCAACCCAGCTCCAAGCCCAACCAGTGGTCACTCAGGGCTAAGGTCTGCTGGGACACTACAGCCATAGCTGGTTGCCCTACTGGCATCTATGGCATCCTTTTCCTAGAAGGAGGTGGGGTGAGTAGCCCCATCAGCTCTCAGCTGCTGTGCACAGGGGACAGCTCTGCCAGGTAGTGCCCAGTGCTTGGAGGAGGTGTCCCAGTCCCATGAAGCCCTCTCTCCCTCCAGGCCGGGCAGGATGCCTCTGTTTTCCTGGACAACACTGCAGGCTCCCCTCTCACCATTCAAAGCGGCTCCGATTTCAGCGCCGTTCTGCTGGGGGTGTGAAGAGGCACTGGGCAGCAGGCTGGGAGCTGAGCCTGTGCCAGGAGCAGCCAGAGCTCTGCCAGCCACCACCACACCTCCCCTGCTCAGCACCAGGCACAGGGAAGACTTTGCTGCTTCAGGAGCTGCAGGATGGTCCAATTCTGCTTGTGCTCCAGAACCATCTGAAGCTAGACAGAGATCAGGAGGAAGGAAGGATAACAGTAATACTACTACTAATAATTCATAAGAAATAATAAATAATAATTAAAGGCCTGACAAAGAGCTAAAGGAGTTCACTTTCATCTAATGACAAGGGCTGAAAGTTTATCTTGGAAAAGGCTGCTGATAGTGGTGGCAACCAGCTGCCTTCTCCATGGGGTTCAGCTCCCACTGTCACAAGCACTGAAGGCTGGATATCATCCCTTTGATGGATCCATCTGTAGGACTTCCATAGAAGTCCTACAGCTCCATTTTTTCTCTCAGATTTCCCTGCCCAGCTTCTCAGCAGCCCCAAACAGATTATCTGTATCTCTTTAGCTTCTCTACAAGGTATTAGCAGTGAATGTTGGCTGGCAGAAGCCAGTGTGGTTCACTGCTAATCTTAAAACAGAGCAATGTCCCGATAAAGCAAATTCCTGTCCTGTGGCTCTCCAGGCCAGGCGGTCCCTGCCCATGGCACAAGGCCCAGGCCGTGGGCAGTGCAGATGTTTCAGCTCCGATAGCCTCTGAGCTGAGGATGGGCCCAGGGCTACGTGCCTGAGCCCCTGAGAGGTACCCAGGCAGGCTGGGCGTGGGGCAAGGCAGCCACACGTTTCATTTCTCAGCAGCACGTTGTACTGGGCAAGCTGTGCCAGCACACCCAGAGATAGCCTGAGCTGCACCCAGCCCCACCTTCCCTCAGCCACACACATAGGCAGGGAAGAGCACTAGACTAAAGCAGGGGTTGAATCTGCCTGTCTTAACTGGCTGGCTACTCAATGCATGGTGGAACCTGCTCCATAGTGCTTTGTTTTCCCCTTTGTCCTGAAAAATGGACAGTCATTTTGTTGAAATCATTATTAATTGTAACACTATCATGTTCCTAGTTGGAGCTCTGCCTTCAGAACCCTTTCTAAAGGAAAGAACAGAAGCAGCAGTGTTGCTAACATGGGCAAACAAGCTCATCATCAGAGTGCAGGCATGGCTGGGAGCAGAACAAGCCAGCAGAGGCATTTGGTCACCATTTGGTGACCAAAATATGTGCAGAGTCCCCCACTTCCTTCCTCAGTGCTCTACAGATGATGTGTACAGTTAACCTCTTAGTTAGCATAAGCCCATGAACTTTAACTGACTTCTGCTGCAGCAGAAATAAAGATGGTCAAGCCACCCACCCCAAACAACAGGATACCTTTTGCATGCTCAAGAAAACAGCCCAGGATCATCTCCCAAAACTCCAGAAAACACAGGGAGCAGAAAAGAGACCAGGAAGCCTCACAAGCCTGTGCAGGACGGTGCACAGAACTACAGCTACCACCACAACAACCTGTTGGGCCTCTATACACTGTTTCTCATGCAGGACAAGGCGGCTGAGCAAGAAACCACTGCACAGACTGACCAGCTCATCTCACTGCACTCGCCCACAGGGCAGGAATGTTGATTAATCTGGAACTGAAGTGCTTTGGTAGCCCAATCTGTTTATCTTTCACTCTTTTGGTCTGAAGCCAAATTTCCTCTGGAAAACAGTCCCCCCCAGACCCCTTGCAGCAACAACTGGTAGAGGAATGGGGATGGTATGAGATACCAAACACTTACTAGCAACAAGTAGCTGAAACCTGAGATGCCTGCTCCTCAGATAGTACACAGACATCACTCTCTGCTGCCTAGCAGGTCCATTTGATGAAAACACTTTCCCAATAAACATCAGGAGCAAAGAGCTGCTTTTCCTGTATCAACAACGGGGCTAAACCCCCAACGTTTTCTGTAAGCAGAGGGCAGGTGCACTGCTGCTCTCTGAGCCAGGTTTGTCTCACTCAGCTGCAGGCAACCTCACCCCCCCAGCTTCAGAACCAGATTTCCTATCCAGCACCAAGAGGACAGCCCACACCACATCCCGAGCCAGCGGCCTAGGGCACTGCACAGTCTGACCAGGGGTTCCCAACTCAGCCTTAAGAGCTCAGGACTCTACTAGGGCCTCATATAAAGCTCAAAGAAATGAAGAGCAGAACTGCACCATTTGGAACAGCTGGCAGAGTTCATGCCCACAGATGCCTGCTCTTGCTAGCACCTCTGCCAAATGAATTTATTTGGTTTGCCAAGACATTCACCAGGGGTTGACAGGACAAAGATTTCCACAGAGGCTGATCCACTGTGGCAGCCACTCTGGACTCTGCTAGCCAAGTGAGCTAAAACTATTAGGAAAAAAAAAACAACAAACAACTTTATTTACACTGATGAGCACCCAACAGGCCCTTTCCCAGCCACACATGCACACACACACCCCACCTCCTCCCTTCCCTTACGTCCATGGCGAGCTGGGCTCCTGCTGCTGCAGCTCATCCCTCAGTGCTCTATCCGGACCACCATGACTGTGACGTTGTCTGCTGACCCCCTCTGTACTGCCTTGTTGGCCAGTCTGTTACAAGCAGCTTCATACCTGGCATCTGCTTCCAGCTTCCCTTCCCTCATCTGGATGTTCTTATCCTGTTGAGAGGAGGAAAAGCAACGCTGAGCACTCCCAGCAAAGCACGTGGTTCATTTCCAAGCGTGCAGCAGCAAAACGAGGAAGGACAACCTCGGGTCTAAGGGAGAAGACCTCGGCAGTTCATTTCTGCAAGTCAGAGTTGTGCCATCTTGTGCTCCCTGCACTGCCAAATCCATCCCCCACCCTGCCTCCTTCTCACCTCCAGGCAGGACACAATGAAGTTCACAGCTTCTTCTGGTGTAAAGACTTTAAAGAGCCCATCACAGGCTATCAGAATGAACCTGGAAATCAAACACAGACAGGTTCCAAGGCTGAATCTTTGGCTCCCCAGGTACAGCAAAATTCCTCAAAGCTATTTTATGAGTACCCATGCACCAGTCCAAAGGGAAGATGCCATAAAGCTCAACTGAAAATCCCTTGGAAGCACCAGAATACTTCTGGTGCTCTAGAATCTACCATTCACAGACCTGAGGCAATATAAACTATAGGCCAAGGACTCAGGCTAACAACCTAAGACCTACATCAGTGCATCCTGAAGTCCTACTGACCCTGCACTGTTAGGCAAGACTATACACCATGCCCTGCTGGAAAGTTGCATTATTTTGCTAGGAAGTGCTTCCTTCTTTTGAGTCCTTTTCATTCACATATTTTTCCCTGTGAAGAAGCTAATGCAAGGATATAGACAAACACAACCAGCTTAATACCTCATGTGCATCCCTTTACATTTCCACACTCCTGAAGTATGCAGTAACTTAAGTTAAATATAAATATTCAAATAAGAATTAGTAGCTTAATCCAGAAATAAGAGGTATAACTGATTGGAAAACTCTGTCACAAGGTATATGGCTGCAGGCTTCAGGCTAAGGGGATACAAAGCCCGGGGCAAGGAAAGCTGCCTCCCAGTCCCCTGCAGAGGATGGGGAGACAGCCTGCTGTGTGCTCCCTGCTTGCAGAGGGGATTGCATCAACCAGGAGCCCAACCCTGAGTCACCAGACAGGGAAAACTACAACCAGAGTGGAGCACAGGGTGGCCAGCCTGCCAGAAAAGCACGTCTCTGAAGACATTGTTTCAGAATCTCTTTAGAAATATTTTAGTGGATCACTTGATATAGAGCTGTCCTCCCAGAAAAAGCAGCAGTACTGGGTTCATTCTCACTTCAGAGAGCCTGACATGAAAGCTCACAGCAATTTGTCACTGCCAATCATACGTTAGAAAAGTATCTCAAATCTTAACTATCAGAGCTGAATGCAGTATTTGTGTTCTAGCACTGCTGCTGCTAGAAACAACTACTGAGCAGGATAAGGATCCACAAATTCAAGCCTTAACCAGCTGTTTGAACACGGGTGTGTGAACTTACGCAGAGCATGAAAGAAGTCTAAGGCCTGTGTATGTTAAAGCCTGTGTATGTTATCACTGGTGTGAGGCCAGTTTCTCCAACAGGAGCCTTCCCAGTACCCTGGCAGAGAGGCAGCAGCACTAGCCCACCATACTGACAAGGGAGAGGAGGCCAGAGAGCAGCAGTAAGAGCATCCTCTAATCCGGCCGATCAGTCTCAAATGTCTTGGCCCTAAGAGCAGAGCACACGGGGCTGTGCAGCTTGTGCTGTTGCTTCTGAGCAGCTCCAAGCAAGGCCAGTGCAGGGGGACACACCTGTCGTTGTGGGTGAGCTGGCAGCGTTTGATGTCTGGCACGGAGATCACACCGCAGCGCTTGTACTGTCCGTCCCCAATGGAGCGGGAAACCTCCAGCACTCCCAGGACTCTGCCATCCCTGCAGCAGGAAAGGAAACAACCAGGCTCTTGAGTCATGAGGACTGTCTTCACAGCTGCCTCATACAAATCCTGACCCATGTCCCCCAGCAAGTTAAAATCTTCCCTTCAAAGCCTCCTTCCCTTTCTGCATCTTTGTGGAAAGGTCTGGGAAACAAAGGAAGAGGGGAGGAAGAAATGAAGTCAGGGGAATTCAAGGCTGCCTCCTGTCTCCCTGCCCTGACCCAGGTCCTGCTTAGCCCAGCCAGCCAGGGAAGAGTTCTATGCTGAGCTGAACTGCCAGAGGTGGAGGTTTGAATTCACAATTCTTTTTTTGGGAAGGTATCTAGACAGCTGCATTTCAATAGAAGTACAGGGTGCAGCAAGACCAGGTCTGAGGCAGCAGCCCCTCCTGTGCTCTCCCTATGGGGACACTAGCCTCTACACACTGGTTCAACTGGGGGCAGTTCTAAGGAGCAGGAGCCACAAACTTTATTCTGATCTCTTGGTCTTTACTGATCACAGCAACTAGTTCTGTGACGCCCAAGTCAGAATCCCCCTTAGGAAGCAGTTTTGTTTGCTAAACTTTTCT